TTCATCAGGGCTAGAATGCAGTAAAGTAGAGGTTTGGACTTAGAAATGTTTGTAAAAGCGCCTGTCCTAACTCACAGTCCATATGTTAGCTTTACTACATTCCATCTCTGACATAGGGAGCCTCCTGAACCCCAAAACACTTTAGCTGTTTAGATTGTAGGAATAATAAATGTATTCTTAACATAAATCAGTTGATTGTTTCTCTCATCCAAGCAGCCTACCAGATGATGAGGCCTTGTGACATATGAGAGGTAAAACTCCACATAAAGTAAGCTGCCTAAGATGTCCAGTCAACAAATCGCCATCTGGTACCAGTCATTTTTATCTTTTCTTTGAAGGCATCAGTACTGTACCACTTCTTGTCCTATCACGTTCCTCGGAAAATACAAAGACGCCTCCTCCTAGTCTCTCCTAGTCTCTGTGAAGGATGTATAAAAGGTTAAAAAATAAACTCCAATAGCGCAACAAGCTTGATCATTTTATCATTAAAAAAATAGTAAAAACATAATTCAAAGGACTCCGAAGTCCAGTAACCTCACATCATCGGACATTGCTCACTCACCCCACTCATTTCAGCCAACTGGCCTTCCTTGGGGGCTTTTTATGTATAAATAAAAAGACTGTTGTTTGGACTCCACAGTGGTGTATTTCTTCAATTGACAGTCTGCTTTATTACTGCAAGTGTTGCTACTTTCTTGTTTCTCCTGCAGATTAGAGAGTTACCAGTGGAACTATGTTTATCAAAAACATACATGAAACCAGGACTGCAACTGCACAAAAAAGGTCCAGAACTCCTTTACCCACCATAATATATATTCATTGCTGTCTAAGGCCTCATGGGGGAGATTGCCCCACCAATGATGTCACTGGGCAAGAGGAAATGAAAAATCTCGTGGGCACATAAACAATATAGAGATAACACTGGTTTAGTTGTCTGCTGTTGCAAAATGTTTTTTTTTTTTTTCCTTAGTCTCTGTGAATTTTTTTTCCTTACTTATGGGACAGGCAGAGAGGGGATTTCTCCTCACTGGAGCCACAGTCACCAGAAAGAATCATATAAAGCTTCTAACCTTTCTCTGCTCTTCTAAGCTTAACAAAAATAAATAAATGTTGAATAAAATATAGCAATAAATTATACACTTTAAAATCCCAATTTTTCAGTTTTCAATGACTCTCAGTCCCCAAACAAACCCATTTACATTGGAACAGGGGCTTTTTTTTTAACCAATTCAATATCGGGCACTTTTACCCCCTTCCTGCCCAGGCCATTTTTCTGGTTTCAGCGCTCTCACACTTTGAATGACAATTGCGCGGTCATACAACATTGTACCCAAACTAAAATGTTATCATTTTCTTCACACAACTAGAGCTTTCTTTTGGTGGTATTTAATCACCGCCGGGGGTTTTATTGTTTGCTAAATTAACAAAAAAGGCCAAACATTTTGAAAAAAGTTTTTCTTGGTTTCTGTTATAAACGTTTGCAAATAAATAATTGTTCTTCATAAATTTAGGCCGAGATGTATTCTGCTACATGTCTTTGGTGAAAATAACCCAAATTAGGATGTATTTTTTAGTTTGTAGGAAAGTTATAGAGTTCACAAACTATGGTATAGATCTGAATATTGATCAATCCTGAAGTACTGACAGCCAATCTAATTTCTTGAAGTCCAAGAATGTCAGAACAGTACAGGTATCCCCCAAATGTCAGAACAGTACAGATATCCCCCAAATGTCAGAACAGTACAGATATCCCCCAAATGTCAGAACAGTACAGATATCCCCCAAATGACCCCTTTTTGCAGAGTAGACAGTCCGACGTACTTCATAAGTGGAATGGCGAGTTTTTTTAAGTTGTATTTTTTTTGTCATAATTTTTCAGAAAATGAAAAAATAAAAAACAATTATTTTCACAATTTTTTTTACATACTGTCATCAGTGCAGTTCAGCGTCATCATATAACTGGTATGGAGGTGATCAGGGACACTGACTGGTGACAGTATAAAAAAAATATATATTATTTTTTTTTCATTTTTTTTTATTTTTTTTATTATTTTTACATTTTTATTACATTTTTTTTCTTTTTTTTTTACGATTTTTTTTCATATTTCACTATGACCAAAGTAGTACTTTGGGGAAGTGATCAGTATTTTTTTTTTTTGTTTACACAATTTGCTTATAGCAAAGAATTACTTTCCTATAAGCAAGCATTTACCTGAATGACATCGATTCATTCAGGGTTTTTTTTTTTTTTTTGTGCTTAGCTGTGATTTGGCCACACCTAATCACATGACACAGCTGGGCTGTGATTAGCCCAGCTTGTGCATGTGATCGCTGTGACCAATCACAGCTACAGTAGTATACAATGGATGGCATGAATGAAGCCGTCCATTGTATACAACTGTCATGTGACCTGCTGTGACTGGTTACAGCAGGTCACTAGGAATGGGCAACGGGGCCGGTACTCAGATCTGTCATGGGCCGTGTCCGAGGTACACGGCCGGTGACAGACCACGCCGCTGCGTGGCTCTGCAGGTGCGCAAACTGCACATGCTCGGGAGAATGCCATATGGCGTCCACCCGGAACACTAATGGCTTTTGCACGCCGCCATTCGGCCATTGGCCAGGCGGCTAATAGTTTATGTAAAAAAAGAACAAGGGAGCATGTAGTATGTAGGGATCAGCTTAAAGTAGAACTATAGGCAAAACTTTTTTTTTTCATTTTGGATAGAGTAAGGGAGGGCTATACCCCTACCCCAGGTCACCAGAACTAGTATCCCATTGAAAAATTTCCCCTCTATCACCTTTCTGGGAACAACCCAAAATTTAGGGTTTTCTTTCATTTTTAATAATAATAATGGGAAACAGGACAAATAGAGAGGTTTAATCTCCAGGGACACAGACAGCAATGTGTCTTTGTTCTAATGTGTTCTGATCCCTCTCCACTGTATCCAAAACTTAAAAAAAAAAGTTTTTTCTTTAGTTATAAATTAAGGTTTGGTCCAAACACAATGGCTGTAAATCCCCGACTATTTAAGCAAAGGAACAGGAGATAGTTTAAAAAAGAAGCATAGGGGTTTCCCCATAATTCATACTAAGCCTCTCAGGTCTGGTATGAATTTTAACCTCCCTGGCGGTATTCCCGAGTGTAGCTCGGGGTAAAATTTCAATACCAAGAGCGGTAACCCCGAGCTACACTCCGGATTACCATGCGGCGTTGCTCAGGGGGTCCCTGCAGCACTTACCTTGGCCTTCGCTCCCGCGATGTGTCCCCTGCAGCGTCCCCGGCCATCTCCTCCGGCCGATGCCGGCATCCGGCTTCCGTGTTCCGGTCCCTGTGACGTCGGGACGTACAGGCGCTGGAACTGGTGGGAAATTTGAAATTTTTAAAAAATTTCATTTTTGCTGTCATTGCTGTTTTCAATGCATTTCACATACATTTTGTCCCGAGTGCTTTGTCCGGCGCCCTGCCTGTATTTTTACTGTTCTTTCTGCCTGGAAACTTAGAAAAGTCCATGGCGTCCAAAAAGCGTCCCTTTAGGTCAAAAGCGGTTTTAGACCGGCTAGAGAACAGCGATAGTAAATCAGAACCACTTGCAGAATTGAGTGATAATGATTCGTGGGGGAAATTCGTCATCAGACACTGAAAACGATTCTGCGACTGAGCTCAGCGATGTGCGAATTTGCCTCTGTATTTCAAATTTCAGTGTTTTTGGTTTGATTATATTATTGAATTACATTTATTATTATTATATTATTGTTTTTTATGATTATTTATTAAATTATAATTTATGATTTCGTGTTTCAAGTTTTATCATACCCGGGATGTTTACTAGACTCTTGTTCGGACAGATTTCAGTGAGTTATTCCTAAAAATTACAGGCCTACAATAAAAAACTACATATTTCCATGCAAAAAAAATGGTACCGCTTTCAGCACAAAAAATCAGAAAGAATCATACCGCCAGGGAGGTTAAAGGAGATCACAGGTAGAAAAATTCATTTTGACCTCAATACATCTTTGAGCTAAAAAAGTAATTTGCTGGCTATTTCTTGTAATTAAGCTATAACACAGTGTCATTGTAAGCTGAGCAACCCAGCTTTGGGTGTATGGGTATGGTGTTTGATGAATTTTATGGATTTCTAGCATTATTATGAGTTAAGTCCTAATCCAGGGTTTCTCAACCAGGGTTTGATGGAAACCCAGGGTTCCTCCAGGAGTTGCTAGGGGTTCCTTGAGCAATGAGCAACGTCTGCCTCTCGGATAAGTTCCTACTGACACCATTGATCTTTTTAGCTCTCTGTAAGGGGGTAATTATTCCCAATGACTAGAGATGAGCGAATTATTCAAAAATTCGGTTCGGCTGATTCGCCGAATTCGCGGAAAAAATTTGCTTCGAGCCGAATATATTCGCTGCGAATTTAACTTATAAAAAGGGTGTTTCTAGGCTTCAGAGAGCCTTTATATTAGTGCAGAACACTGTACCTTTAATTTAAATGCCCTTGGAGTCTGCTGGGGAAGAGAAATAATACTGTCAGTCAGTATGACATGCAGATGAGTGCCGTCGATCTTAGAATCACCGCACACTTCACTCATTTGGGCAGTCACGGGGCCAAAACCAGAGTGTGGAGCCACAGTGTGGCGGTGGAGGCAGCAGCAATGGGAGGCCATACAGCACCCTATGACAAAATGGAACCCACCAGCAGTGTGAGGAGACCTGAAAGTGGCACATGGCAGAGTGTGGCGATGGAGACAGCAGCAATGGGAGGCCGTACAGGGACCCATGACACACTCTGGACCTGGCAGCAGCATGAGGAGGCGGTACAGGGGCCCATGACAGATTACGGGCCTGGCAGCAGCATGAGGAGATCGGTACGGGGGCCCATGGCAGATTACGGGCCTGGCAGCAGCATGAGGAGGCGGTACAGGGGCCCATGGCAGAGTGGCGGAGCGTAAGCAGCTAAAATTGAAGGCCATACAGAGGCCTATGTTAAAAAGTCCCCCCCAGCAGCAGCGTGGGGAGACGACTATCAAGAGTCCAATGGCAGAGTGGCGGAGCAGAAGCAGCTTCATTGAAGGCCATACACAGGCCTAGGTTAAAAAGCGGAAGCCGTCAGCAGCGTGAGCAGACGACAGAGACACATGGCGCAGGGTGGCGGTGGTGCAGCAGATGGAAGGCAGCAGTATTCAGAAGACCTGAAAACACAGGCGGTGGAGGCCTCGGAAGCCATACACAGGCCTCGGTTAAAAAGCGGAAGCCGTCAGCAGCGTGAGCAGACGACAGAGGCACATGGCGCAGGGTGGCGGTGGAGGCAGCAGCAATGGAAGGCCATACAGCACCCTATCACAAAATGGAACCCACCAACAGTGTAAGGAGACCTGAAAGTGGCACATGGCGCAGGGTGGCGGTGGAGGCAGCAGTATTCGGAAGCCATACACAGGCCTAGGTTAAAAAGCGGAAGCCGTCAGCAGCGTGAGCAGACGACAAAGGCACACATGGCAGAGGATGGATCTGGCAGCAGTATGAGAAGGCGGTACAGGGGCCCGTGGCACAGTGTGGTGATGGGGGCTACAGCAACTGGATGCCAGAAAGTGGCCGATAGGGCTATATACTGCATGGAATTATAAAGTTGTAAAGACAGCGGCCTATAAGGCTATACACACTATAACAATCATGACTTGATTGACCATTGGCCTATAAGGCTATACACAGCATGAATATCATGACTTATTCTGAGAGTGGTTTGGAAGGCTATATACAAAAAGTAATTCATCAGCTGTCCGGACAGCGGACAATAAGTACATATATACAAATCAATTCATCAGCTGTCCAGCCAGCGGCCTCAAAGGCGACACATATAGAAAGCAATTCATGAGCTGTTCAGACAGCGGCCTCTAAGGCGACAGATATACAAAGCAATTCCTGAGGTGTTCAGGGAGCGGCCTGAACGGCTAGGTTATTAGGTCAGTTGTGTCAGGAACTGGTGGTTTGAAATCCAGACTAATCCACGCCTGATTCATTTTTACAAACGTGAGTCTCTCCACACTTTGGGTGGACAGTCGTGTCCTCCGCGGAGTTACAATACCTCCTGCCGCACTAAACACGCGCTCCGATGCCACGCTACTGGCCGGGCATGACAGCCTTTCAAGGGCAAATTCAGCTAGTTGGGGCCAAAGGTCAAGTTTCGTTGCCCAGTAGTCAAGGGGATTGTCTACCTCGGTTGGCAGGGTGCTGTCCAAGTAGGCCCAAGCTTGTTGTTTGAGGTCCTGCTCCAGGTCCACCTGATGCTGCTGCTGCTGCGGCTGGTTAGTAGTTTCCTCACTGCGCTGGTGAAGAAAGCTACTCATCATCGACTGCAGACTGAGGCAGCCGCTGCTGGTGGAGCTGCCACTGCTCCTACCACCCCACCCCTCCCCTGCTGCCATGGCAGCGGAACGCGAGCGCACAGGGCCCACAGTGTCTGAGGATGGACGTTGGCGCAGAAAGGCAGAGACCAACTGACTACATAGGTGGTTTTTATAGTACTTTATTTTGGGCTCCCTCTCAGCAGGTGTGAAAAAGGCCACCATTTTTGAACGGTAGCGAGGGTCCAACAAGGTGGACAGCAAAAGTCATCCCTCTGTCTGATGGTTATTATTCGGCTGTCGCTACGCAAGCAACCGAGCATGCTATGGGCCATTTGTGCCAAGGAATGCGAGGGACTCCCTGCCTCCATCTCCACAGCATACTGCCACGGTGCGTCTGGGTCCTCTGTCTCCTCCTCCTCCTCTACCAGATGCTCCTGCTCCTCCACTCCTGTCCGCTGAGTGGAAAAACCACCCATTTCACTCAATAATTCCTGAGCACCAATGTCCTCCTCTACCTCCTCCTCTTCTTCCTGTCCTGCCCCCACAGGGGTCATGTGGCGTTGAGATCTGTGCGCCACGTCTACCGCACCCTGACCAGCCATTGTTAACAGCATTTGTTCCAGGACGTGCAACAGAGGAATGACGTCGTTCATCCCATAGTCCTGCCGACTCACGAATAGCGTGGCCTCCTCAAAGGGCCTGAGCAAGCGGCAGGTGTCACGCATGAGCTGCCAATGGCTGACATCTAAGTTACACAGGGGAGTACCTTTATCCGCTTGTAACATCAGGAAATCGGTGATGGCCTTTCGCTGTTCGTAAAGGCGGTCTAACATATGTAGGGTTGAATTCCACCTTGTTGCAACGTCGCAGATCAGGCGATGCTGTGGAATTCCGTTCTGCCGCTGCAGCTCAAGGAGGGTGTGCTTTGCGGTGTAGGAATGGCTGAAATGCATGCAAAGTTTACGTGACATTTTAAGGATGTCTTGCAGTGGGATGGTGGATTTTAGGAACCGCTTGACAACCAGATTGAACACGTGAGCCATGCATGGCGCATGGCACAACCTTCCTTGACGCAGAGCAGACACCATGTTCTTTCCGTTGTCGGTCAACATGGTTCCGATTTTCAGTTTGCGCGGAGACAGCCATCTGTCGATTTCTCTGTTCATTACACTCAGAAGTTCCTCCCCTGTGTGACTACGTTCGCCAAGGCATACCAGGTGCAGCACAGCGTGACACCGTTGCGCCCTGCACATGTGATATGCCGGTCGGGTAATGGGACTTGGCACGGGGGGGTGGCGGCTGAGGACACGGCGGAAGAAGAGGTGGTAGAGGCGGACATCTTTGCTGGACCAAGGACGTGCAAACGTGGAGGCAAAAGCGGCGTGACCTGTCCAAGTTGCTGGTGCGGCTGTGCCGGCACCACGTTCACCCAGTGGGCCGTAAATGACATGTACTGTCCCTGACCGTAGTTACAGCTCCACACGTCGGCGCTGCCGTGCACTTTGGCAGAGACCGACATGCTCAAAGACTGGCCCACCATCTCTTCTACATGTGAATGCAGGGCTGGCACTGCCTTTTTGGCGAAGAAATGCCGGCTTGGCACTCTCCACCGCGGCTCGGCACAAGCCATCATTTCTCGAAAGGTGCTGAGTCCACCACTTGGAAAGGGAGGGACTGCAGCACCAGCAACTTGGACAGGAGGACGTTCAGCTTCTGCACCGTCGGGTGCGTGCTCGCAAACTGTTGTCTCTTGGAAACGGATTCCAAGAAAGACTGCTGACGGAATCCGTGTGAAGAGGAGTAGCAGGAGAAGGAGCATCTGAACGAGCGGAAGATGCCAACGAGCGACAACTCCCCTCAGCAGAGGTGTTGGAGCCTTGACTGGCTGATAGAGGGCGATTGACGTCGGGTGACGGAGCAAGTAACGGAGCGGGTGATGGAGCGGGGGCTGGGGCAGGCAGAACCGCCGTATCTTTATCACGGTTTTCCCAGGCCACCGAATGGCGACGCTGCATATGCTGACGCAACGCTGTAGTCCCAACATTGGCCCCCTGGCCACGCTTGACTTTCTGGCCACATAGTCGACATACGGCTACGTTTACTTCCTCGGGCGGCTTGACGAAAAATTGCCACACCGCCGAGTAGGAAACTTTGCCCCCGCTACTCCTCACTGGCTGACTGCTACTTCCTCCGTGCACACCGGCACCACTACTGGCCGTGGTGGTAGGCTGCAGTGGAGCTGGTGCTCTACTACTCCGTGGCCGTTTGGCTCCACTGACACTGCTGCGACCCTGCTGCCTCCTGGGCAACCCACCGACTGTTTTGCTCGCTGGCAAGCTGGCACCCTCTTCTCCTGATGATGCGGAAGCAATAGCCTGATGACGACGAGGCTGCCAAGTGCGATGCGATCAGCCTCATCATCATCAATTAGGGTCTCCGCGTCACTACTAGCCCCCTCGGCTGCGTGTGGGTCAGGAGACAGACCTGTCTCTAGACCGGCTACCGAGCCACTCTCCTCGCCAGTACTTCTTCGCCTGGCTGCTGAAGAGGCGGATGTCTCCCCCCGTTCCTGACCGCCCTCTGTTAGCTCTTCCTCACTGTACAGTGGGGCTGAGCCCACAGCATGCGATACTTCGCTTGGTGAGGGAACACCAAAGGACAGGGGCAGGTTGAGGACACGTGATTTCAGTGGGCTTGCTCCCGGGCCATGCCAACTAACGGTTGTGTCTGACGTACCCACCGACCGTTGGCTGTAGGTGTCAGAGGTGACCTGGGAAGAGGAAGACGACCGAGTCAACCAATCGATGACGGCAGGGTTGTCGGTGGAGACACGACCGCTGGATGACACCGGGAGCACTGGCCTCTGCTGCGACTAGTGCTGCCTCGACCCCTTCCTCTGCTGCCACGTCTGCTCGCTCCTGAAACATTGCCTCCTCTGCCACTCCTCTGCGTGTTGTCTGACATACTCTTTAATTCAATAAGCACCCCAAAAATAACCGGATTTAACTCTTTGAACGTACAATAGTGGTTGTGAAGCAGAAAGTCAGTTTATTTAGCACAATCGGTCAATTGCAGCTTGCCGTTGGCTGGAAACTGTACGTTTATGTCACTGGAATGCACTAATCACCCAAAAAATATTACCGCCACCCCGGCGTGTAAATGGATCTAACTCTTTGAACGTACAATAGTGGTTGTGAAGCAGAAAGTCAGTTTATTTAGCACAATCGGTCAATTGCAGCTTGCCGTTGGCTGGAAACTGTACGTTTGTGTCACTGGAATGCACTAATCACCCAAAAAAATATTACCGCCAGCCGGCGTGTAAATGGATTTAACTCTTTGAACGTACAATAGTGGTTGTGAAGCAGAAAGTCAGTTTATTGTACACAATCGGTCAATTGCAGCTTGCCGTTGGCTGGTAAACTGTACGTTTCTGTCACTGGAATGCACTAATCACCCAAAAAATATTACCGCCAGCCGGCGTGTAAATGGATTTAACTCTTTGAACGTACAATAGTGGTTGTGAAGCAGAAAGTCAGTTTATTTAGCACAATCGGTCAATTGCAGCTTGCCGTTGGCTGGAAACTGTACGTTTATGTCACTGGAATGCACTAATCACCCAAAAAATATTACCGCCACCCGGCGTGTAAATGGATCTAACTCTTTGAACGTACAATAGTGGTTGTGAAGCAGAAAGTCAGTTTATTTAGCACAATCGGTCAATTGCAGCTTGCCGTTGGCTGTAAACTGTACGTTTATGTCACTGGAATGCACTAATCACCCAAAAAATATTACCGCCACCCGGCGTGTAAATGGATTTAACTCTTTGAAACTCAAGTTGGACAATAGTGAACGTACAATAGTGGTTGTGAAGCAGAAAGTCAGTTTATTTTGCACAATCGGCAAACTGCAGCACCAACTGTGCACGACAGCCACCAAAAAAAAAAATGGTGTATGTCACTTTAAATTTTCGATTCTTTGATAGCTGTGGCCCTAAGTAACGATTCTGTGTCCCTGAGTAACGATTCTGTGTCCCTGAGTAACGATTCTGTGTCCCTGAGTAACGATTCTGTGTCCCTGAGTAACGATTCTGTGTCCCTGAGTAACGATTCTGTGTCCCTGAGTAACGATTCTGTGTCCCTGAGTAACGATTCTGTGTCCCTGAGTAACGATTCTGTGGCCCTAA